AAACCCAGACAGAATGGTTCCGTAACGGAACGGTAGCATCTTTCCAATTTAGGTGGAGAATTGGAGATAAAATCGAACACAAATAGCTTCAACACAGACAGAAAGAAAGATTGCAAAAACTGTAGGGGCCAATAAGAGATTAGTGGTGAGTGGTAGGACCATTTTAAATGGACAACATGATAATGCAAAATACTGAAATAGGGCGGCACAAAAATTCAAAATCCCATCAATTATTTTTCACCAAAACTCCCCTTCCTTATGCCCATATAAATACCCCTCAAGCCCCAAACCACACTCATCAACAAGAAAATTCACACTCTCAGCTCCAAAAAAAAAAAAGAAAAGAAAAGAAAAAGACTGCGAATGGCTAAGGATATCGAGGTTGGAGGCACCAGGGACTACCAGGACCCTCCCCCGGCACCACTAATCGACCCAGAAGAGCTCGGCAAATGGTCATTGTACCGGGCTGTGATTGCCGAGTTCATTGCTACCCTTTTGTTCTTATATGTTACGGTTTTGACAGTGATCGGTTACAGTAGCCAGAGTGCAGCCGATGAGTGCGGTGGAGTCGGCATTCTTGGCATTGCCTGGGCCTTTGGCGGCATGATCTTCGTACTCGTTTACTGCACAGCTGGCATTTCCGGTGAGCTGCAGTTTCACTTTCTGTGTCGATCGATTATAACTACATTTAAAGTGATTGTTTTTGTGTACAAGTCAAAACAGCAACAAGAATCAACAAGTGAATTTTGCAAGAAAATGAATATAAATGTCATCTTTGTCCATTATGACCATAGAAACAACTGCAAATATGGTGAAAAAGGTGCAGTTTTTCCAACTTCTGCAAAAACTCAAATGAAAAATGAGATAGTTTGCAGAAACACCAGTCATTTTCAGACGGTTTAGCACTTTCAAAAACACTCGTTGAATAACAAAGGTAATGCCTTTTTTCAGGGGGGCACATTAACCCGGCCGTGACATTCGGGCTGTTCCTGGCCCGAAAGGTATCTCTCATTCGGGCCGTGCTGTACATAGTGGCACAGTGCCTGGGGGCCATTTGCGGATGTGGGCTCGTGAAAGCTTTCCAGGAATCTTACTACACGAGATACGGTGGAGGAGCCAACTCGCTGTCGGCCGGCTACAGCACCGGCACCGGCCTGGCGGCAGAGATTATCGGCACTTTCGTTCTTGTCTACACTGTCTTCTCAGCCACCGACCCCAAAAGGAACGCTCGGGACTCTCATGTTCCGGTAAGCTCAACTTCCTTCAATAATCAGTCAAGAATCTTGGTGGGTACTTTTAGGGGTGTATTTAATTGGGATTTATAAAAACTTTTAAAATCTTTTTAGGACTTTAGAAATCCTGGTGTATTTAATTTAGATTTCTCAAGACTTTTAAAAGTCTTGAGGTATTCAATTAGGATTTTAAAAAGTCTTACGAAATCCAGGTGTATTTAACTAATTTAAGGTTAGGATTTATAATGACTTTTTAAGATTTGCTGAGATTTCTAAAGAAAAAAACATGTAGGAAATCCCACTACAAATCCCACCTTTAGACTTGGTATTTTATAGGATTCTTTTAAAATCTAAAAATCCTCAAAAATCTTAAATCTTAAAGTCTTTAAATGTCACTCGAATTCCGAAACGAATACACCCCTAGTGATTGAGCGGAAAGCATTCTCATTTTGGCACTTTCACAGGTCCTAGCGCCGCTCCCCATTGGTTTTGCCGTGTTCATGGTCCACCTGGCCACGATTCCGATCACCGGAACTGGCATAAACCCGGCAAGGAGTTTCGGGGCCGCCGTGATTTACGGGAAGGGCAAGGCATGGGACGATCAGGTATTTATTTTTGTGTTTTCTCTCACACGCGCATTTCGTCGAACACCTTGCCTTCGCCGGATTTTTTTTTTT